CCCACGGCGCAGCCTCCCGCCTCTATATAAACACACGCATCGCCTCGCTTTGGACTCAAATTCACATTGAGAGAAGCTTTTAAAACCACCAGCCCTGAAATCCTGCCTCCTGTTTTTCCCCCTCTTTCATTCCTTTTGCCTTCCTTTCTTTTTTCCCCCTCTCTTCCCCTAACAGCAACTCCAGAGCCGAGAGACCGCGTCCCGGGACGGACTGCCTTTTCTTAATTGATACAATAGCCCAGCTCGGGTTTTCCACCTCCTCCCCCAACCCCACCCCGCCTCACCCCTCCCGCCCGCTGCCGTCGCCGCCGCCGCCGCCGCCGCCGCCCCATCGCCCGCCCGGGGCTCTGTCGCCGGCTGCGTCCCGTCCCGGCCGCGGCCCTCCAGCTCCGCATCCGCGCTCGGGCCGCAGCGCCCGCCTCGCCGCCTCGCCCGCCGCGCCCGCCGCTCCTGCCTCAGGGGTGCCGCGGCGGCTCTGGGGCTCGAGCGCGCCGCCCGGGGCAGCCCAGGGACATTTGGGCTCCGGCCTCTCCACTCGCCTCAGCCAGGGAGCTTTCTCCCTCGCCCCCAAAGTTTCTGGGTTCGTTGGAATTTTTGGATTCAGGATTTTTTTTAAATTCTTTTTTTACCTAGGAATTTTGGGGCCATACTGCAATACTTTTGACAAATCGACTGCACTTCCTCTCCGCTAGCTCTCTGCCCCCTTCTTTTTTTCCGAGCAGGGAAAGGGGCTTACGAGAGAGAGGCTCCCTCTGGACAAAGTTTTCCAAAGTTTTCCGAGTGTGATGGTAGCGGGGAGAGCAAACCCACCAGCTTGACTCACGGCTTCATCTCACCACCCCTTGAGCAGCCCCTAAGCCCGCTATAAAGGAACAAACAAACAAACAAACAAACAAAGTTACACCCCAGTCGCCTCGTGTCTCCTCTCTTCTTTTAGGCAATTTTTTTTCCTCCCTCTCTCCGCTCCCCTCGCAGCCTCCATTCCCCTTCCCTCGGCCCCTTCCTCCTCATTCTCTGTTTCGGCTGGAGGTGCCAGGACCCCCGGCCGCAGCCTCCCCTCCCCCGCCGCTCCGGTCCCCTCCCGTCTGGCCCTCCCCTCCCCCGCCGCGGCCGGCACAGCCAATCCCCCGAGCGGCCGCCAACATGCTCTTTGAGGGCTTGGAGCTGGTGTCGGCGCTGGCCACCCTCGCCGCGTGCCTGGTGTCCGTGACGCTGCTGCTGGCCGTGTCGCAGCAGCTGTGGCAGCTGCGCTGGGCCGCCACTCGCGACAAGAGCTGCAAGCTGCCCATCCCCAAGGGATCCATGGGCTTCCCGCTCATCGGAGAGACCGGCCACTGGCTGCTGCAGGTAAGGGCGCGCTCGCTCCGCTGCTCTCCGGGGTCCGCTAGCTGAGAGCGTTGGGCTGATGGAGCGGCGGGCCGGCCAGGGGGCGCCGGGAGCCTGAAGGCACTGGTCCCCGCCCCGCCCCTTCCCTCCTGTCTGCCGCAGCAGCCCAGGCTTCCCCAGCCCGCCGGCAGCGCGGTTCCGGGACCACTGGCGCTCGCTGAGCAGGTTCAGGGGGCTAGTAAGAGGGGTTCCTGGACCTGAGGGGGCTCCCAGATGGACTTGCCTGGGTCGCGGCTGGCCTGGCATGGGGTCCTGGAGCGCCCTGGGGGCGCCCAGCGCGGCGCGATCCCGAGGGAGCTTCAGGTCCTGAGCCGCTTTCGCCGCCCCTCGGTGCTCGAAGCCCCAGTCGCCCTCGGCTTTCTGGGGTTGGCTGTGTCGCTGGGAGCCGAAAATTGAGTCGGAAGAGGAGGGGGCTGGCGGCAACTTGAACTGCCGATTTAAAACTGTGTTCCGGCGGCGCCGTCGGCAGCGCCAGGTACAGTTGCCCTGGTCCGCGGTCCGCGCTGGTGTGTCTGTTTTGTGGTGGAAGAGGAAGAAGGTAACCCAAAGAAAAATGAGAAGCCTGAGAAGCCAGGGCTCTAGGCTTTCGGGGAAAAGGGTCTATTTACTTATTGGGTGGGGACAGTTTGGCAGGAGAGGGAAACTTGGGAGAGGTGAGTGTGGGATCCATAGAGAGAGTGCGTGTGTGCTTGTTGGATGCCGCACAACCCCACTCTGCTGGTGATAATGGGGGTGGGGCGCGTCAGGGACCAGACCCAGGTAGGTAATGGGGAGATTAACCTAGAGTTAACCTCATCAAGTGGTAGACAATCGCTTTTGCAATGTGATATACACCAGTTTTCTTCTTGGGGTATGGGAGCGCCTCTGCAGTAACTGCGGGAGGTGTATTTGTGCGTACTCGCGTTTGTTCTGTTAGCGGAAGCAGGGATGTCCTGAAACTGACAATCCCCGCACCAGAGAGGTGAAGCGAAAGGTGAGCGCTGGGACCTGTGGGTTTAGAGGTGCGAAAGCTTGGCTTGAAATTAACAGACGCGTGCAATCCGCGCGCTCGCGCGCGCGCGCACACGCGCACTCACCCTGCCCCGGGCGGAGTGACAGCGGAGCGGGGGCGGGGAGGGGGCTCGAAGTTCCTCTGCCCTGTGGTCTTTCCACGTCCCGGATTTGGCCCATCTCTTTTTGTGGTTGTTAGTGCAATGAGGTGGGGGTCCCTTCAACCAATGGAAGTATCCCCCCCGACCCCCGCAAAGAAATCCCCAGAGCCTTTCCCTCTCCACCACACTTAAAGGGTCAACTGCAGCGGTGCTCTAGGCTCTGGGCCGCGAATTTAGGAAACAAAATAACTTGGGCAACGGCTCCCGCCTTTTAGAGACTGTCTGCTGAATCCACGGTCTGTCACCAGCCACCCCCACTTCGTTTCCTTACCTCTCTCTGCCCCGCTCAGGTTCCCATGACCTTTTCTCCGAATCCCACAAGAGTCCCTGGGGGTCTGCGTCCAACCTGCACAGAAGTTAGGGAGGAGGAAACCTACGCCTCCCCATCCCTCCAACCCGGGGCCCTAGATCTGGCGTGGGGGAGGGAAATAGGGGGTACGTGTACAGAGCGCCTAAGGGGTTAATAAGAGCCCTCTGAATCCCAGCGTTATTTTTTCGGAGTCATTTATCAGATTTTACGGGGGGACCTCCAAGGGCTCTCCGTTTCCACCGAGCGCCATCTAAACAGAGCCCAGGGCTAAAAATACAACATTTTTGTATAAATTGGACTCGCGGCCCGAGCGGCCGCCCCTATGAAAGTCCTCTTTGTGAAGACCGTGGAAACGGCAGACAAATAACTCTTTATTAATGCCACAAAAAACGCACTTTAATTATAGTTAGGCAGATCAGAGGCAGGGGGTGGGGGCGAGGCGGCGGCGACCTCGGAAAATTCACAACCCAACTTTTGTGTTGAAAGAAAAGAAAAACAGAGGAAAAGAAGGAGAGGAAAGACGGAGAGTGAGACGGAGCGAGGGAGACGGGTATAGCAGACGGAGGGAGGGAACCCCTCGCCTCACCACCCGCTCTGTCGCACCCCACCTCCGCCTAGATTTTTCTTAAAGGGGTAGACGCCGTGTAGAAGGGCTGCACGGTGGGGGGAACTCTCCCCGTCCTCCAGCCTGGAAGGGGGACAGCGTTCTCGCGGCCCAGCCCCCCTCCTGGCTGCGCCGGCGCTCCCGGCTCGTTCCCCGTCGCGCGCCGGGGCCGGAGGCGCATGTGGAAAAGTGATTAGGGCTCCGGGTTCTGCAGAGTCACTTTTCGGCTGTACTGGGGTGTGTGCACATTTAGCTGGAGAATAGTTTTCTGTGGAAAAAAGAAAAGTGAGGAGAGGGACCAACCCGGGATAGGGAGACTGAGTTGTCCCCTCGGGGTTGCAGGACCAGGTAGATCTGGAGCCCGAGTCTGTACGCCGGTGGACTGGCAGGCGGGGCGGCTAGACAGGTGGCGCCCCTCCCCTTTTCGCCCAGTGCTGCCCCGGCAGGAGAAGGGTTAACGTGGGGTGGGGTAACTAGTGCCGACGTCAAAGGTGAGCGGGACGCCCCTGCTCCCGCCCCTCTGAGGTCTCCACGGTTTCCGGTACCCGCGCCGGGCCGGCTCCGCCAGCCGTTTCGAGAGCCCGGCAGGGCCCCGGCCCCGCCATCCTCGGCTCGCGCCGCCACAGCCGGGGATCTGGTTACCTGCGCGGGTCGCCCTGCCCGGTCCCGCCCCGCCCCGCGCTCGGGTTCCAAACTCCAGGGCGGCAACCAAAGTCGGTCTCCGTTATTTCCAGGTCAAAATGCATTAGGAAAATCGCGGCTCTCGGCCCGTGACCCCGCCCTGCAGAGTCCTCCGAGGGCCGCCGGGTCCCTGCGCGGGCCACACCGGACAGCGGAGGAAACTCCAACCCCCATCTGTAGTTGCTGCCTTCGGGCACCGACCGCTTACCGCTATAAATAATCTTTGGCCTGCGGCCACCCCGCGGGGTCTCGCCAGCCCGTGGCCCGGAGCCTGGAAATATTTATTCCGAGAGGCTCCCGAGCGCGAGGGAAGGAGGGGGGTTGGAGGCAGAGACTCCCGCTTCGGGTCCAGCTGTCCGGGATACCTCTTTCCTCTCGAAAGTCATTACTAAAAAACAGCCTCCTGGGGGTGCCCCTGGGCCTCCACCTCCTTGCATTATTTATTATCCTCTAGGCCCTACTTCCCAGTTCTTGTGCACGCTATGAAAAATAAAACCTGCGTGCTTGTCTATGTGAGTGTGTGTTTGGTGGGGAGAGGGGGCAGGTGACTGTGCCCCGCGTTGGGGTCCGCCACCCCTCCCTCGCGGGCCTTCTGCAGAAGTGCACCCTGAGAGAGACCCCGGTGTGGCTCCCGCAGGGTTCTGGCTTCCAGTCGTCGCGGAGGGAGAAGTATGGCAACGTGTTCAAGACGCACTTGTTGGGGCGGCCGCTGATACGCGTGACCGGCGCGGAGAACGTGCGCAAGATCCTCATGGGCGAGCACCACCTCGTGAGCACCGAGTGGCCTCGCAGCACGCGCATGTTGCTGGGCCCCAACACGGTGTCCAATTCCATTGGCGACATCCACCGCAACAAGCGCAAGGTAAGAACTCTGTCCTCTTTCTTCCGTGCACTCCCTCCCCTCACCTCGGGGCAAGGAGTTCCTGGAGCCTGGGGAATGTTCCCCTACCGAATCTGTGCCCCCCTTTGCACACCATGCTTGAAGACACCTCAGTTCCCCGCCGACAAGGCCTCGAGTCCGGATCCAGGGCCTGCTCCGGCCTCCCTCCTCTTGGTCCCTTATCATGCTGGCCGACTGCCGTGGGCACCACCAACGGTGGCTTGGAAGAGCTTGAGCATGCGGGATCTGGGGTGTCCAAAGCCTGTCCTTGCCTTGCTCCACCGAGCTGGAAAAGGAAGGAGGCGGGACAGTTGGCCGGCGTTCGCCTTTTCGCCACGTTTCCCAGGGAATTCCGAGGACTGGAGAGCGATCATTCTAAAATCAAAGCTGCCCTTCCCACCACAGGCTGCCTGAAGGGAGGCGCGGGCAGGCGGCTGCTCGTGGAGGTTGGGGACAGCTTGTGGGCTGCGGTGGCTGGGCCTGGTCAGAGAAAGGTGCGGCGAGCCTTGGGCCGCGGAGCGCACGGGCCTGGGCCATGGGGGCAGGGCGGGCGGGGGGAGAGCAGGCGAGGCACGAGCGGGGATCAAAGCGCACCCACCCCCCCGAAAGAGGAAGGGAAAGTGGGTGTTTATCCCTTGGATTTCCCGAGCGACTGGAGGAGGCGCGGAGGAGGCGCGCACGGGGCAGGCCTCCGCCCCTCCCGGCTGCGCTCGGCTACCAGCGCGGGCAGCACGTGCTGTTTGAACTGCAGTAACCCGAAAGCCGAGCCGGCGGGCGGGCCCGAAGCCGCCAGGAGGGGGGCCGCGCGACCTCCCCGACTCCTTTTTTTTCCATTGGGTCAGAGGACTCACCCAGGTTTGAAAGCTAAGGAAAGGGAGAGGCAGCTTCCCGTCCGGGAGCGGTGGCAGACCCGGGAGGTGGGGAGGCGGACTCCCTCCGTCAGGGGCCGCATATGCTGTGGTCTTGGCGAAGATGGGGAGCGCTCTACTTGCAGACGCATCCTGTAGCACTTGACGTTCTCTGAACAGCCTGTGAAGGGTAATTCTTAACTGCAGACAAAAGAAGGAGCGGTCAAACCGAGGAGACTGGGCTGCATCCCTGCCCCCACCCCGTTCCCTTATACAGCATGTCTTTCAGGAACTGGAAACGGGCTCCCAAAGTCCTTTCTTCCATCTGCCCCACTCCTAGCTGCAAGCAGTTGCCACAGCCTGGGGGCGGCGGGAGAGGGGTTCTGGGGAGTGGCTGGGAGGGGCTGGAGGCTTCGGAATGAAGCCTCGGCTTTTCCAAGGTGTTGGGCAGTTATTTTTCCCTCAGCCTTTGCGACTCCACCACAGGCCCATTCCAAAGAGCGAGGAGAGCGGAGACTCAGCTCCAAAGGAGATGGCTGCTTCCTGAGCTCTGCTTTACAGACACTTTGGTCAGAGGGGTATTATTGTGCCCTTTTCACGGAAGGGGCCACTGAAGCGTAGAGCGGTAGAACGAGACTTGAACCAGGTCAGGAGACAAAGAAAATTTCGGGGAGAGCCTGCACCACCAGACTGCAGCGTCCACGGGAATAGTCTCTGGGCCCGGGAGAAGAGTCCTCCTCTGTCCGGCCTGCCTGGGGCTGCTGGAAGCTGGGGTGGACAGTGAGGAAGGAGGTGTGGCCAGGACCAGAGTGTGGGGTGCAGAGGGGTTTGGGGTGAGGGCGTTGTCTTGGGGTTCCACCCACCCTGGGCCTGACTTGGCCTCGGGCCTCCAGGTGTTGGCTGGGAAGGGCTTGCCTGGAAAGCCCCAAGGTTTTTTGGCCTACATTGTCCATTTAGAGGGGAGGGAGAAGGAAGGGAGGGCGCAGATGACCAGGAATATGGGGGAAGGGAGGAGGAGGGCTGGGACTGGGGTCAGGGCAGAAACTGAGAGCCTTGGCTGAGGTGTGATGGTTCCCTATTCAGAACAGCCAGTCCTTTAGCTCCCTGGGGGTGAGTGGGGAGTCACCAGAAGCTGGTTCATCCTGCCAGGGGCCTGAGAGCCAAATGCAGGGCCCCCTCTTTGTGTGTAGCAGTTTTATGCTTGCCATGTGAGGCATGTTGGCAGGGAGGGTCGAATGAGAAATGGGTAGTCAGCCAGATGAAAGGATTCTTCCCCCCAAATCTCCCTAACTGATGATTTAAGTTTACTAAACTCCACGGAAGTCCTGGGGCTGGGTAGGTAGAATCTAGCTGGAAGCCAGGAGGACACTCAGGGCCACTGTTTCTAAATATACATGTTGGTCCTGGAGAGAACTGCTCATCTGCTGAACCCAAGGCCTGGTGGACTGAGTGTGGCCAAGGTAGGGGCTGCTGTGTGCCACACACACCTCTTTATCTGGTCCATGCTGCAGTTAGGGGCCTGGCTACAGTGTGGGCTGCTGGGCCAGGACTGGCCTGGTTAGGAGGTAGGAGCGGGAAGTGGGGCCCAGGTGTGCTGGGGCCCGGCTGGTGGGGAACTGGAGCGTCACTGTTTCCATTGGGGCTGGTGGCCCACCCTGCCTCTGGGAGGTCTGACCAGATGTGTTGGAGGGGGCTTCTCACTGCCATCACTGCGCTCCAGGTGTTTGCCCTGGCTGCCCTGGTGGTCTTGGGCCAGCAGGGGTGGGGTTGCCAGGGAAAAAGTCCAGAAAGTCTTGCCCAGTCTAACAGAATCATCTCTGGAAGCCAGGCCTGTGTCCTTGCAGCCAGGGCCTCAGACTCCCTCCCTCCTCCTGGGTTACCCTTCCCCTGCCCAGGGCCTGGGGTGTATCTGATGGATGGGGGAGGGACCCCATCCCTCTTCATGTGTAGAGAGGCTGGAGTATTGCCGTAGAAGGGCAGATGGAGTCTGGTTAGGAAGGTGGGGGTGAGACAGTTGTCCAAAACATGGAGAAGGAGCTAGGGAATCGTTCTAGAAGCTTCCTATGCCCAGTCCTACCCACCAGGATTGGGCCTCTCCTCTTCTTCTTTGGAGCTAGGACTGGACCTCTACGCACCAAGAGGCCAGCAGCTTCAGAACACCCCAGACAGTGGCCTGGAGATACCCTCAGGGAACTTGGAGAGTATTTCAGGGGAGGGACTTAGCCTTGGAGCCTCTGAACTGGGGAGACCTCAGGAGTGGTAGTCTTGCCCCTTCTACCCAGATCCCTGCCTACAGGGCCTTCTGGGCCTGAAGCCTAGGTGGGGGATTAGGCTTTGGAAGTAGAAGTCAAGAAACCCTGCCTGTCCATCCACCATCCCTGACTTTGGCCCCATCTTGGAAACCTTGTGCTCCTGGGGTCTGTGTTGGGAAGGAGAGGCCAGGAGGTGCCTCAGCAGGAGGATGGTGCCAGGAGGACCCATGGTTATGGGGTCCCAGGGAAGGCTAGCCCACACCTGGCTCTAGGAGGCCTTTGGACCAAGGCACAACCTCTGGCCACACAGTCATGTCCACCAGGCTCAGCTCAGGGCAGAAGGTCCAACCTGTGTTGGATGGAAGGCCAGTGGCACAGCCAGACAGCTCTGCTGCTGGGAGCTCTGCCCCAGCCCCTTGGCATAGGCACAACGCCTTTGTTCTGTCAACACAAGTCCTTCGCCCAAAAGTTACTGTAGCACCAGTGGGTGGGCACAGGGGCTGCTGAGGGGGCGGGTAGCAGCAGCGGATCTATCTGAAGGTCAGTGGGGGAGGGAGCCCACAGTCAGCTGCCAGGACGCCTGGGAGTGGGAAACTCCCTCTGCATGCCCTTGTGCCAGGCAGCAGGTGGGTGGGCGGCCTGGATGCGGGGGCCAGCCCTTCCCTCTGTCCCTTCTTTCTGTGTCCTTCTCCCAAGGCAGGGAGGGGTCCAAGGTTGTGGTACTGATGTGTTTGCTCACTCTCCCAGCCTTGGAAGATGAAGGTGGCCTTGGCAGGGAGTGGGAAGGTTTGGTGGGGTCTGCCCTGGCCCTGGGCCCCCCAGGCTGGCTGCTGTATCTGTCCTGGGTTCCCTAAGCCTAAAAGGAAGCAACTGCGGGGCCCTGAGACATGCCAGGATCACACCAAAGTGGCAGGGACAGCTGGCCTCACCCTGAGAGTGGACTTCACTGTAGAGGACAGTCCCCTTCAGGACCCTTGGATAAATTCAGAGCCCACCAGGGCTGGCAGAGGAGTCTGGAGTGGTGGGAGGCAGGGAGTTCAGGGCCTCTGGTGGGTGTGGCCAGCCACACTCTGGACTGTGACCTTGGGAGGCCCCTCCCCATCCACGGCTTTCTAAGGTGGGGTTGGTGGCGGTTGGAAGCGGGAGAGGTAAGAGCGGCCGGGCAAATCTCAGATTCTGTGGCTTGGCAGGTGTCTGCCAAGTGCTGCTCTCCCCTCCCCACCTTGCCCCCCTTGTGCTGTAGGTATGTGTGGAAGAGTTAGGGCAGTGGGGAGCACGTCTCCAGGTGAGATGATCACAGCTGGAGTCAAATCAGGGGCAGGCGCTCTGCTCTAACCATTGGAGCCTGTTGGGGGTCTGGGCCAGCCTCCCTGTAACCAGAGGGGCTGAGTGTGCCCAGCCCCACAGACCCGGATTGGACATTTCCAGTTCTGGGTGAAGCTGCCTGGCATTTCCACTGGGCCAGGGTGAAGCTGAGGCAGCCAGGCAGCTGGGAAGATGACGTCCTCTCTTACCCCCCTTGCCTGAATATAAAGTACACACCTTGGCGTCACCCCTGTGCGGACGGCTGCCTCAGCGCCTGCCTGCCCTCTGTTATTCTTTCCACTCCGCAGGCTGAGGCTCCGGTGGCTTGGCCGGGTGGCCTGCCCAGGCCCCCACCCCTCCTGGGCAGCCGCTTCCATTCCTCCCAGTCTGAGTCACTGGCCTGGGCAGTGGGTCCCCGCTCTGGCTCTACCCGCTCCTGCTGCCCATCCATTTGTCCATCTGTCCACACCTGCCAGCAGAGAAGGGGGAGGCTATCTGGCTGAGCAAGCGCGGCCCGTAGGGCCATGGGGGTTCACAAAGTGACTCCCCTCCCAGGGCACAGGGTGAGAGGCAGGAGGGGTGAGGAGGCCTGCTTGGGGAGAATGCATTTGTAGAAACAATGATAGGGAATCTGAGCCTTCACGAGCCCCTGCTGGTGCCCCTAGACCCTTGTGGGATCAGCTCCCACTCCGGAGGGAGGGAGAAAACCAAGGGGTGGACTCCTGAGCCTATTGTGTCCTTGGGGGCTTGGCAGGGGAGTTGCCCAAAGCCATCCCTCAAGGTGACTGCCCTCCTCCCTCCTGCCCAAGCCTCTGAGGCTGCAGCAGGTAAACCTGGATGGGCGCTCCTGGTCTCCTGTGACAGTACCCTTGCTCTCTCCTGGCACCAACCCTGGTGGGGAGTCCATACCTGCCACTCCCTCTGCAGGGCTTGGCCTGGGCCTGGGCTGGCTCCCAGTGACCTTTGTCCGGCATTCTTGGCTGACTTTTGGGAATTCCGAGGGAAGCCCCAGAAGGAAACAAAGCAGCCGTGGCTCCTGCTATGCCTGTGGTCAGGGAAGTAGCTCCGGGCCGGGAACCCTTCGTTTCTTCACAGGGAGCCGCTCCCGGGCACCTTCCCAGTATGCCCGAGCCCTGACCCCAGCAGGCGGTGGCCTCAGACCCAGCGCGCCCTGATGCAGCCCTGACCGCCCTCTGCCCCAGCCTGCGCCTCTGCCTCCACCCGTCCTTTGTGGCGGGTGGTGGTTTCAGAGCTGCCCTGGCTTCGGGAAGTGCCTGCGTTGTTACACCTGGGCACAGACCCAGGGATGAGGCCCTGGAGGCTTCCTAGGGCCTGGGAGGCCCCTATGCCTGTGGAGCAGCTGGGCCAGAGGCAGGGGCATGGACCTGGTGACCTCTGAGCCCAGCCCCTCGGGGCCAGTGTGCCCTCCACCCACCTTTGCTGGGCTTCTCATTTGGGGGATTTCTCCACCTCACGGTGAGCTCTGAGGAGCGTCATGAACAGCCTGGCGGAAAGGCCCTCAGAACGGCCAGTCAGGCCTCTCGTGAACCCAGCGGAGAAACAGCTCCAGGAGGGGCAGCGGCCTGCTGGCTGTCACTCAGCCAGTCAGACACTGGCCGAGACAGTGTCCTGGTCCTGCCTTCACTTTCCTTTTAGAAGCCCCAACCCCAGGGGCCTGCAGGTGCCAGGTGGCAGTGGTTTTTCTGGCTGATTCTAGCTCCTGGCCTTGCCCATAGAGCCCTTCCCCACAGGGGTCAGGTGTGGACCCCTGCCCTTGGAGTCCTTCGGTCAGTCCCTGGGCCCTTCTCTTTTCCTAGACTATCCCTGCCTGCCCTCCAGGGCCCCCAAGGCCTGGGAAGGAGCAGTTCTACCGGCCATCGCTAGAGGGCGCAGGAAACGGAGCCCACGGGGCAAGGCAGGGCTTGTCTGTGGGTGAGGTGTGGGCCCTCCGTGCTCCCCCTTTTTAAACCCTTGGATGGCCCCTCCTGGGCCACTGTAGCCCACATGGGGTGTGTGCGTGGGGGCTGGAAGGCGCTCCCCAGGGGATTCGAGGATTGACAAGTTCTGGGCCGCTTTGAAGGGATAGCATCTACTTAGGGGCAGGTGGGGGCTGCTGTTCAGGTGCTCAGTGGATTGACGGGAGGCCACCTGGCTCCACCTCACTGTCTACAGATGAGGAAACTGAGGCTTGGGGGAGCGGGTAGCCACTTGGCCATGATCACACTGTAAGTTGCTGGATGATGCACAGCTACAACTCAGCCCCTTTCCTGTCACCCCACCGCATCTTAGAGCCCGCCGGTTTCTACTTCGACTGGGCCTGGTGGACGTGGCCTCCGGGGCACGGGGTGAGAAGCAGGAGGACCAGGTCTCCCATGTGCTGGGGGCCCTGGCCAGCTCCCACCTTGCACCCTCCATGACAGAACACCTAGTCCGTCCTGGGCTGGCTGGCCGGCTCTGGGCCAAGTATGACCTCTTGGGCCCTCCCTGTCCCACCTCTGGCCTCCCTGTCCCACCTCTGGCCTCCCTGTCCTGCCATGGAGGCCTGGTAGCCGCAGAGTGATTTTCCTGTCCCCGTCTTGTTTCCTGATGCACTTTTCCCTCCTGTGTGCTGCTGTCTGCCCACCCTGTGGCTCTCTGCTGTCTGTAAGGGGCCCTTCACTGGCCAGTGCTGGGCTTTAGAAGTGCCCCTTCTCATTCCCCCAAGACCCTTCATTTGCCCAAGGGCTGAACCTGGAATCCTAAGGACATGAGGGTTGGGGGTTGAAGCAAACAAGCATTGCCTTTATCCATTACTCTCTGAAGGCAGGCAGCAGTTAGAGTCCCCTGGAAATTCCCTCGGACCCCCAACACTGGGCAAGGTGTGAATGACCCGTCTGGACTTGGGCTGATCTAGGCGACCTCCTATCATCCTTCTACCTCTCTGCTGTTCCTCTGTAGCAGGAGCGGCCCCAAACAGTGCAGGCCTCTCTGCCCCTCGCCGGCCTCCTGCCCTCCCTCCCTCCCTCCACCGGGAATTTCGGAATGAAAGTGCTATTGTGAACGCCTGGCTGGGCCACTGAAGGGCCAGCACTGTTATTTCTGCAAACCAGCCCTCCCATTAGCCATGCAGGGCCCAGGCCAGGAAAATGTTACCTTTCCTCCCCGAGCTGACTGCAGGGGAAATTCTCACATTTACAGTTTGTGCGGTGGTTGTGTTTGGGGGGCAGTTGGGGAGGGCGGCGCGTGTGTGTGGTTTGCATGGGGTGGGGTGGGGGGCTCCCTCTTCCGCACTGTCCCTCCCCTCCCAGCCTTTGCTTGGTGCTGGTAGCGGGGGTGCTCCCCCTTCTCATCTGAACTCTGGTGGGATGGAGGTTGCTGCTTATGAGCGAGACCCACAGGCTATCGGTAAATAAACTAACGTGCTCCCGTCTCCTCCACACATGAAAACATGTGCGGGGGAGTCCTGGGTGAGGAGGGCAGCAAGGGGGGCTGCGCAGGCAGCCGGGAGGACGGAAGACGGGGAGGTGGGAACAGGACTCACTGCCTCCTTACAGTGGCCCTGGAAGATGCAGGGAAGTCACAGGGCTTCTGGTTGTCCTTATGATCTTTGGGGATGGAAAGCCGTTGTCCCCATTCCCCCGCTGCTTTTGGACCTGGCCACACTGAAGACCTTTTCATGGCACAGCTTTTAATAAACTTACTAGAATCTGCACCCAGTAGGTGTTTTCCAGCAAGTGATGACAATTTTGGTTCCCAGGAAGTCCTGCTTGAGGTCTAGTCTCAGGCTCTCTTGCTGTCCCCCATGGAGTAGCTATACCCCGATGGCCTTCCCCTACTTTCCTGTACAGTCCAACGACTGTGCTCCACTTCTCCCGGGCACTTCCATCCTGTGTCCCGGGATTCCGAAATGGGCTTCTGCAATGGAAGGGTGGTTCCCCGCTCAGCTGCCACTTGTGCCCCACGCAAGCCACATCCCTCGAAGACTTGCTGACAGCTGGCCTGCCCAGCTCCCAAAGCTTTGTGATTGTGTGGAAGCTGAAGTTCTCTTTGGCCACATTCATCCTTCAGGCAGAGTGAGGGGCTGACCAGGGGCGGGCCGTGCCAATCAGCTCACCCACCTGCCTCTCTGCCTTCCAGGTCTTCTCCAAGATCTTCAGCCACGAGGCCCTGGAGAGTTACCTGCCCAAGATCCAGCTGGTGATCCAGGACACACTGCGTGCCTGGAGCAGCCACCCCGAGGCCATCAACGTGTACCAGGAGGCGCAGAAGCTGACGTTCCGCATGGCCATCCGGGTGCTGCTGGGCTTCAGCATCCCCGAGGAGGACCTTGGGCACCTATTTGAGGTCTACCAGCAGTTTGTGGAGAATGTCTTCTCCCTGCCTGTTGACCTGCCCTTCAGTGGCTATCGGCGGGTGAGCACCCAGGGCCTGGGAGGAGATTAGCAGGAGCATCCATGAGCCCCCTCTCTGGGGATGGGTGGCTGACCTGACCCCTGAGTGGGCACCTAGGCACAGGGCACATGGACAAAGGGGAGAGGTGTCAGCGTGGGGTAGGAGGAGGCTGGAGTCATCCCTGGTGGTCCCAAGGCTCGGATGGGAGCCTGCCTTTCTATATGAGTGACAGCCCTTCCCCCTGCAGGGCATTCAGGCTCGGCAGATCCTGCAGAAGGGGCTGGAGAAGGCCATCCGGGAGAAGCTGCAGTGCACACAGGGCAAGGACTACTCGGACGCCCTGGACCTCCTCATTGAGAGCAGCAAGGAGCACGGGAAGGAGATGACCATGCAGGAGCTGAAGGTGGGGTGGGCATGCGCCCCTCGCTGGCAGCACCAGCACCCAGGCTCCATTCTGAGCTTTCCTTGGGTGGAAATGTGCCTTGCCCTTTCTAGCCCCTGTAGTCTGGCCCCACACAAGCTTTCTGAGCAGTGGCTGGAGACCACGAAACCAGAAGCGAAGTCCGGAAGCGAAGTCTGTGTCCCCGCCCCTGCTCTGCAGGATGCCATGGGTGCCTTCCCTTCTCTCCCCATGGCCTACAGGGAGCTCAGGCCTGGGAATGATCTCGGTTCATTTCCTAGTCCCAATATCCTTGGGAGGCCATCTAGGGAAATGCAGGCCCACAAGGGGAAACCACTTGCTTATCGTCAGCCTCAGCCCTTGGGGAACAGCAGCGGAGATTTGGATGCGAGGTCTCCTTCCCCACCCCCAGCCTTTTCAGGTTGCTGGCACTTTGCATGCCCTCCCAGCCCCCTGGCCCCTGGTGATCCCGGCTGTGCTCCGCGCAGGGCCTGCTTGCCCTGCTTTGGACAGATGTTTCACCAGAGGAGGGCTCACTCGCCCATCCCCACCTGGGCTCTGCAGGCCCACTCCGCTGTCGGGTCCCCACGGACACTCACTGCAGCCTCCCCTGCCCATTATCTTTGCCTCCCCGTATTCTAGCTCCAGCTTCTTTCCTGGGGAGCTAGGAAGAGCCAGAGTGGCTTTTCCACTATAACAAGCTTTGTGATTTATGGGTGTCGCCATGGCCAGTAATGGACCCAGGTCCCTTCATTCCCCTCTCTGGGCCCAGAGTTCACATTTGTAAAATGCAGGGCTTGCTATGAGATGGCCTGCTGGGGCCTTTCTATGGGGAACCCATGGCCCTGGTGTCCTGCTCCCCAGAGAGCCCTGGCAGGGTCTTTAGGTCCTCAGGAGGTCACCTCCCCTCAGCCCCATCCCAGGTCTCCAGGGGAGTGGCCCCAGGCTGTGGCCCCAGGCTGCCTCTCAGACCCCATTGGCTCCCCTGACTACCCACCAAATGTCCTCCTCCTGCGATGGAGGAAGGGGCTGGCGCTGCTAGTGGGAAGGCCCGGGTTTAGACCACATCCCCCACACACGCACACGCACACCCACTGCGCAGGGCCTTGCTCCTTGGGATTTGTTCTTTTTCTC